AGTTTCATCCAATTGTGTGGAGTTGAAAATACAAGCAGTAATTAATGTGGGATTGAAACTTTTGTTCTTGCCCACACCAAAAATTCACAACTATCCGCTTTACGAGATGCCATCAGATGTAACCATCCATCAGATGTAACATTAAGACTTAGATTCCGTCTCAAATATATACAAAAAGTGAATAGTTTCATGTATTCTAAATTAATTGGAATATGAAGTTCATTTTATAGCACTGATATCTTCACCATCAATTTTCAAATTGAGTCAATTTATTGAAAAATGTAATGATGGGGAAACTAATTGCAAGCACAAATGTCACAACAGTTGTTTTTCAGAAGTGAAAAAGTATGAGTGTCCACACGTTAATTGTAGTGCGACCGTACAGAGCAGAACGGAATATCTAGAACATTTCCAAACGCACGATAAACCATTTCATTATCAATGCAAACATTCCGGTTGTGGGAAAGAATTCCGCAAATCATGCTCATTTTTCAGACACAAGAAATTCTGTCAACACAAACCTCCGAGTAAATACTTCTTCAGTTTTAAACAATCACTGAAAAGGCAAAATAAATGTTCCAACAGAGTTTCTCAGTTTTGCAAATTCGGCAGAGTTTTTATCATTTATTTACCTATTTGAAATGAATGCACTTGAAAATATGTTACGGAATATCTATGACTGTGGAGTGGAATAAATTGTTCACATCGTTTGATTCAATGAAGTGATATCTAAGAAATGTTCATTCTAGATTCAGCGGAAGGAAATTCGCAGTTGGGACATTTGGCTGACACTGGAAACCATCATATTGCCGGTCAAAGCTCAGTGGGTGAACAAGATCGCTCAAGCAATGACTATCCCTTAGAAAAGTTCAACATCATCGACGACCTCGATGGTAGTATCTTCGACGATCTTAACATCCCCGACAATGTTGTTGTTGACGTCGAAGATATTAATATCGACGATGGTAACATCTTCGACGGTGTTGTTGTTAATGAATGGATGATTGAATGAATGAATGCTGATCGATATATTGTATATTATTTGTTTATTATTTCAAAATTTAAAAGAAAAAGGATAACCTCTAACTTCTTGTTTTCAAAGCCTTTTTTTTAGACTGACGATCACATCAATATTTGTTGAATCATGGAATATATCCCCATATTTGTTATGAGCCACATTTTCCTATCTTTTATGCAGCTGTAAAATCTGCTGCGGTTAAAATTTTTTATATGATTATTTAAAATTTCACAGCGCTTTGTATTTGTTCACAAAAAAACAAGATAAAATGAAATATAAATTTCAATACTTTTTTTGTCGAACAAACAATTTGCTTACTGAAAAAACAAAAATCAATACTTTCGATTGTTTGTAATTATGCAATATGTATCGATGACTATCTCATAAATATGAAATATGCCTTTTATTGATTGTCGTATCATTTGGATATCCTAAAATAAATAAAATATGCCTAAAGCACAAACGATAGCTCAAATGAATCGTACTTTTGCAATTTATATAAACACAATAATCGAATTATTCAAAATTATTTCAAATTATCATCAATTATTCTCATAATCAGAATTAAGTAATTTTAAATAAATTATGCAATATTGCAATCAATTTGAATGAAATTTCAAATGACTAAAAACGATGAGAAATGTAATCGAAAGATAAAAATGAAAATGAGATGGCGAATTTTCGAAGGCGCTATTTGAATAACTTCTAATAACTTTTAATTCAAAAAAAAAGAAAAGAACTTAATAGTAGTTAGTATCTGCTCGACTAATCTTCATGATGAAAAATTTTTAGTAGGAGATGAAAATGACTTCAAAAGCCACTTATATATTATTCGTTGATAGGCGGTAATGTTGGCATAACCATGGAGATTAGATTGAATGGAAGAACAGTCTAATGTTTAATCATCAAAAGAAATAAATGTTTTCAAAGGTATGCCTTTATTAAATGAAATTATAAAATTTGTTAATTTTAAAAGATATTCTTACGTCAAACTCATCTTACTTCATACCACCTTTATTAAATAACTTACTTTATAATAGCT